CTTCAAGTTGGCTTCTGTGTCTTTTTTTCTGTTTTATCATGAACAAAATTTAAGTACACATTAAAGTAGAGGGGATAAAGGAAGCCTATACATAAACCCATCTCTAAGATTCAATCATTAACCATGTGCAGTGGCTCATGCCTATAATTCCAGCACTTTTGGAGACAGAGACAAGAGGATTGCCTGAGCCCAGGGGTTTGAGATCAGCCTGGGCAACTTGGTGAGACCTTGTCTCTACAATAAATAAAAAATTAGCTGAGTGTGGTGTTGGGCACCTGTAGTTCCAGCTACTTGGAATGCTGAGGCAGAAGTATCGCCTGAACCCAGCAGGTTGAGGGTACGGTGAGCCTGAGGAGTGCCACAGCACTCTAGCCTGGGCAACATAATGACACTATTTTAAAAAAGATTCAATAATTATCAAGATTTCATCATACTTGCTGCGAATTACTTTTTAAAAAACCACAAAATTGAGTCTTGGGCCCAGAAATACTATATATGTCAAGATTTACTTGGGCATTTACAACCTTACAGAGTTGGATTGTACCACAATTTATTGCTTTTCCAATTCATAGACAATTAGCTTTTCTTTATTATAAATGCATATTGCAGTGAACATTTCTGAATCTGTTTTTCTATTCTTATGTCTAAGAGATTATCTGGGTTTATACCTGGAAGGAGAGTTAGTTGGTTGTAGGATATGTTCTGTTCAACCTTACTAGGATATTACTAAATTGCTCTCCAAAGTGATTGTACCAATTTACATTTTCTCTTTTCCAGCATCTTGGTATCCTTACTGATACTTGATATTATCAGATTTTGAATTTTTGCTAATCTAATGAGCACATAAATTATTGTTTTAATTTTTATTTCCCTGTTTATTGGTGAGATTCATTTATCAGTCATTTATTCACCAAATGAATTATTGCACACCATGTACCAGGCGCTGCTGTGTGTTTGATATATGATCCGAGGTTAAAACAAAGATCCCTGTCCTTAAGTGTCATATAGGAAGATACAGGCAATAAGTAAGAAATGTAATAAATATAGCTAAGTATTAGAAGATGAGAAGTGCTGGGGGGTATCTTAGTCTATTTGGGCTGCTATAACCAAATACCATAAACAGAATAGCTTATAAACAACAGAAACTTATTTCTCACAGTTCTGGTGACTGGGAAGTCCAAGATTAAGATACTGGTACATTTCATGTCTGGTGAGGGCTCATTTCCTGGTTCACAGATGGCACCTTCTTGCTGTGTCCTCACATGGTAGAAGCATGCTCTCTGGAGCCTCTTTTATAAGGGTGCTAGTGCCATTCGTGAAGGCTCTGTCCTCATGCCCTAATCACTTTCCAGTGGCCTCACCTCCTAATGCCATCATACTGGTGATTAGGTTTCAACATAGGAATGTTGTGGGGGTATACAAACATTCAGTCCAAATAGGAAAACCTATTTTCTTTGTGCAGAGATGGACTTATTTTGTGAGATTTTTTTCTAATCATTACAAATGTTTGAAAAATTACAGTTTTTAATAGGTTGCTACATTACTATTATAACTGATTGCCCTGCTAATTTTTTTGGGGGGGAGCGGGGGTTGAGATCTCACTCTGTTACTCATGCTGCAGTGCAGTGGCCTGCTCATGGCCACTGCAGCCTCGACCTGCTGGGCTTAGGCAATCCTTCTGCCTCAGCCTTCCATGTAACTGGAACCACAGGGCGTACTATCATGCCCAGCTAATTTTTTGATTTATTGTGGAGACACGGTCTTACCAAGTTGCCCAGGTGGTTTCGAACTCCTGGGTTCAGACAGGAGTTTGCCTTGGCCTCCCAAAGTGCTGGGATTACAGGCATGAGCCACTGCGCCTGACTTGGATTCTCTATGTAGCTAGCTTTTGCATCTTTTTTTTTCTTCTTCTAATTTTTATGCTTTATTTTTTCAAGTACTTGAATTTTTATACATATATTTTATTAATAGAATTTATTTTTTAGAGCAGTTGTAGATTTACAGAAATATTGAGCAAATGGTAGAGTTTATCTCCTCCCCATTCCACACTATACTTTCCCTTATTAGCATCTTACTTTAGTATGATATATTTTTTACAATTAATGAACTAATATTGATAGGTTACTGTTAGCTAAAAAGTTCACATTTTTAATTATTCTATTATGAGCTAAAAAAGAAAGTCAAAATCCCATAGTTTGTTTAAACTTTTTTAGTTTTTTACTTCATGTTTTTTTTTTTGTTGTTCTGGATTCCATCCAGGGTATTGCATTACATTTAGTTGCAATATCTCCTTAAGTTCCTTTTGGCTGTTACATTTTCTCAAACTTACCTTGTTTTTTGTTTATCCCTTATCTTAAAAAATTCATTGCCTAAGACATTCAGTATAATTTTTAATAGAGCAAGAGTGAAGAGACTTTTCTTTTTTCTGGCTCTAAGGGGACTGACTGCTTTATAAGTCTTAAAGTATGATGTTTACCATAGATTTTGATAGATATCCTTTCTCAGATTAAGGCATTTAGGTTATCTTATTTCCTAACCATTTTTTTGTCATGAAAAAATATGGGCTTTTATCAAATATTTTTCTGCATCTATTAGATCACATTTTTTTTCAATATGTTTAATTTGGTGAATTATATGAGTAGATGATCAGATATTGAACTGTTCTTGCATTTAAACCTCATCTAGTCAAGATATATGTACATTTATATGCTAACATGCATACCTATGCACATATGTACATATTCACATATGAATATACATACATGTAATATGGATTTGGCTTGATAATTTATTAATTAGGATTTTTACATCTGCATTTATAAATGAGACTGGCTTATAATTGTTCTTTCTTGTACTATCCTTGTATGTTTTCTGTAGATAGGTTTTATAGCTTTCTTCTTTTTTTTTTTTTTTTTT